AGGGGTAATTGTCCATTAAAGATTGTCCATTTGCAAAAATACCACTAGTAAAAAAATTTTAAATAAAATCTTGATATTCTAAATCTCAAAAAATATTTTGATCCAGAACAAATCTAAACCCTCAAAAGTAAACTCTTATATAATACTCTCTCTGTCCCATTATATATAATTTTTTAGATAAAAGCGCGGAGTTTAACAATGATATAAATGTTAGTTTTTGTTTTTTTGTTTTTACATTAAAATCACTATTTAATATTTAATTACAAATAAATCAACCAATAAGAAGGAATCCTGCAGAATATTAATGGCCATGACACATTAAATTTTACATAGAAACTAGAGAAAATATTATAATATGGAACAAAATAAAAACTCTAAAACATCTTATATTTTGGGACAGAAGGAGTATAGTTAATTCAAACATAAATGATACAATGAATCGTAAATTTAATAAGTGTGGTTTGGGTATAATAATTATTTATTAGATATATACTATTTTAGATGAACATGCTTTTTCTTTTAAATTTAATTGTAATAACTGGAGAAATTTAGTCATGTATATAATTTTTTTAGTATTTTTTCCAAATTAAAAAAGGAAAATGTCTCAATACCGCCAATGTTCAAGAACGTCTAATCGGAGACTAGACGATTTAATAGGCGGTCTAAACGTTTTACAAAAATACATAATATATTAGATATATATAATTAAATCTATAAAAACCATAATTTATAACTAACAAAATTTATATTATATTTATATTCATCATTTTATAGCCAAATATATAAAATTTTACGATTTATATATGCGAAAAATATATTATTTTATTATTATAATACCATAATATTTTAGACGGCAAAATGCAGTAATCGCCACGGTCTAAAGGGGTTTAACGCGTGCCTAAGCGCCGCCTAGGCAAACGCCTATAACGCTTTTTAGGACACTGAATACCGCACATGACCGCACCTATTTTGGTGTGTTTCTACCTGATGGACAATAAATAATATACTGTAATTTTAATTATTATTTTTATACGAGGCGTGAAAGTGATGGACCCGCCTCACCTGACAAAGGGGTATTAACGGCGTCAATGTTGCCGTTAATTGCGCTGCAGAGTAGTTTTTAGCTTCGACACTGTTTCAAGGTCCAACGGCTACTTGATGCTGACTTGGAGTTAATGTGTATACGTCAGCACTTACGGAACAAACATTTAAGCCATACTGAAACAAAAGTCAGACTCTCTCTACACAAGCCAATCAATTTTACACATCGATCGTTAACAAAAATAGCCAAATTTATTTATTTATCCTTTTTACAAAGTTACGTACACTACAGTTTCGAGGTTATTTTTAATCAAATTTGTGTACGTAACTAACGTATCCTTAATCCTTTATACAATGTTACGTACTGTCAGGACACTAGACTACTGATTAGTGATTAGTCTATATATCGGTTAATCTTTAAAGAGTGCCTGAATATAAAACATTCAATATGTACAAGAAATTGCTTAAGAGTTTTATGGATAATTAACATGCTCTTACCAATTATATACCAGAACTATATTATAGTGGGCTCGTGAAAGAATATGCATAGAGAGAACGTGAATTTTACTAGTAATTCGATAATAGTATCTTATCGCAAAAGTTATCGTGCACAAGAGCACAGTTATCATGATAAACCATTGATAATAACAAGAGAAAAGAAACTCAAAAAACTCGTAAAATGTAGGATCTTCATGCTATGCGTTTTATGATTAATGACTAAATTGTAAAACCATTAATATATGCCTTTTATACGTTTGTAAATTTTCAGGGATTAGATAGACATACAATTGCTTCACTAAAGTTGCATTAGTTCACTACCGTTTTCCTCAAACAAGCCGGCAATTTTCGGACATTCATTGGCACAGCTCCGCGGTGTAATTACACGTCGACCACATTCTATAATGCAACCGCCACGGTCATATCACCGTTTAAACTCCGTGAATTCAATCACTTGATTACGGTATTTTGGGAATGTATATAACGGCAAATATTGGGGTGAGTCTTTTATTTAATTTTATTATCTTACCTCTATAATGGGCCTAAATGGTGTAAAAGAATCAGTGGAATTATGTGGAATGCTGGAAAGTTTTTATCAAGTTACACCAGTTACATTGTTGTAGAATACTTGTGTGGAGTTGTCTTGAATTGTGTGCAATCATGAATAAGATATTCAAAAATGACAAAGTTTTGTTCTTTCTTCATTAACGTTGATTGATAATGTTATACTTTTAAAAAATTCTTTTATTATTAACTTACCTTTTTGTGTTAATTCAAATATAATTATTAGTTTAGATA